GCTTTTCTATTTTTAAGGAGTGTGAGAAGTGCAGACGGGATGAGTTCAGTTCCTTTGAATGCCCATGTTCTAACTGGGGATGTCCCTTAACTAGTAGTTGGACATGTAAGTCAGGACCTAAAGAAAGAAGTCTGAGATTAAGGTAGAACTTGAGATGAAGCATTCAGTCATCGAAGCAAAAATATGAACGACTTTTCCCCCGGGAGAGGATGTGGAACGAGAAGAGAGAGTCGAGGATGGAACCCTGGGGTGCACGGTTATTTGACATGCGGTGGGTGCAGTGGAAGAACCCAAGGGGACGAAAGAGGTGTGGCCAAAAAAGGAAGCTCAAAATGTGGGAGGATTAATAAAACAGAATCCCTACTCTTGAGGGGTTCATGCATTGGCATTGCCTGGAATAATTCTCTTCTCTTCCACCTGCCATAGAATGCATGACACAGTTTATCAAACTATTATTGGTTTATTCAAGTTACTGAAAAGTGACTATCCATTACTTTGTTAAGAAAAGACAATTTCCTGATATTTGTGGTTTTTCACAATCTCCATTTGGAATAATTCAAGCAAAACGTAGCTTCAGGAGTTATGGTGATACCCCAAACAAATCCGGTCTTTACAAAAAGGTGGGTGTAAGTTCCTTTTGTATTTGTTGGAGGTAAAATAACAATGTTAACTTCCTAGTGAAGGCTGCAGTAACCTGTTCTTAAGATTTCAGCTTTTACTAGATCTCACCCGTTTGCTCAGATATCTAACTAGACTGCATAAATAAGCCAAATTAATATTTTAGCAGACCTTTACTCAGATATTAGTTTCTAGAGTATTATTCAGTAAAACAAAGCCATATTGAAAGCATGAAATGGCCCAGTCATTTGAGATTCTAATAAAACCCTTTCTGAATTTGCATATAAGAAGTGATAGGTTGTTATGATACGTAAGTATTGATTGCGCTTGGGAGATCTTCCTGTATATAAGTCTAAAAAAACTTAAATTACCAGTGGAACATAGGATTCTTATATTAATTGCGCAGGACTGGTTATTCAAGGTGTATTTTTTTTTAACTTAAAAAAACATTTTTTTTAACGTTTACTTAGTTTTGAGAGAGACAGAGACAGAGTACAAGCAGGGGAGGAGCAGAGAGAAAGGGAGACACAGAATCCAAAGCAGGCTCCAGGCTCTGAGCTGTCAGCACAGAGCCCGAGGCGGGGCTCAAACTCACGAACAGCGAGATCATGAGCCTGAGCCGAAGTCGGATGCTTCACCGAGTGAGCCACCCAGGCGCCCCCAAGCAGTATTTGGAATGAACCAATATTGAGTTAAAAGTGAATCATTTTTGAAATTGGCGTGTTTTTAAAGTCAGTTGATTTAATTTGCTTACTTAAGATCAAAACAAAGTCAACTTGTTAGAAGTCTGGCAGTAATGTTTTTTTTTTGTTTGTTTGTTTGGTTTTTTTTTAATAAATGTTTAGCTTTTATCTCGTCCAAGAAAGGTTTCAAGTAGATGCTAGAAACCAAAGGGATATGCTTTGGGGAGCTCCGAGCCAATTAAAACAAAAGCAAACTACGGGGTAACCTTCTAAAAGTCCTAGTAATGATAAGCCCATTGTGTCAATTAAAGTATAACAGGCCTGGGAGATAAAGTTTACATATTAAATATTTGTAACTCCACGTGGGTGATTACAACCATGGTTTTCAAACATCTTCAACGTTTTTCTTTCCATAAGGGAAGTACACATTTTCTGTTGTATGGTATTTCTTCCAGACCACCCTGCCTGACATCCCCCATAGCGTCAAGTGTTTCTTCAGCCCACAGTGTTCCGGTGTGAGCCCGTGTTCTTGTGTGCAGTCCAGAAGCAGTGTGGCACAATGCGGTCAGGCACCCGCTCTACACTTAACTGAGGTGAAGCTGAGATCAGACTTCCCGACTTCACGCACCTGCTCTGCCACAGACGAGCTCTTAGAAGCCGGAGAAATTAACTAAAGCTCTGATGGCTTAAATGTCCCCACTTGAAAAATGGAAATAATAAAGTGAACCCTCATGGGGTCTTTAAGAGTGTAAATGAATTAATCCATACAAAGCGTTTAAGTACCTAGAGCATCTGTCACCCAATAAGCACGCTCTATAAAGGCTAATTGATAGAATTATCGTCATTACCATTATTGTTACTGGTCCAACTTTAGTAGCAGTATCGAACCGTGCTTCTCAAAGTGTGGTCTGCGAACCGGTGTCCGTCCACAGACTGTTACTGGTCTGCAGTGAGATAAGGGGCTTGTGCCAGATGTCAGTAGACTGTGGCACTAATCATACTGTTCTGCTGAGCTGACATTTTTAATAGCAAGACTTCTTCAATGAAGGAAGCAATGGGTTGATTTACATGCGGTGCAAGCTCTTTATGTTGCCACAAATAAGCATTCTGAATAGAATTGGCGTGGAATGTTGGATCAGTGATCCTGTTCTCTAAAAAATAATAGCCTTTTATCCTGAAGACAGTTATTAGTCACTCGTAATGCCTCATTAACCTTCTGTGTTCTAAACATTATAATTATGGGTTATAAGGATATTGTTTATTAGTTCGGCAGATATTTATTGATCACGTCTGTACAAAGCCTTCTGTCTTATTTCATAGAATTGTAAAGAGGGCTTGGAAATGGATCTTGACTTTAGGAAGTCTGCCGTGAACCTAGAGCAAGAGGGCAAAATGAAAATCCGAGTAAACGTGTTGAGTGCGTGTTCTGAGTGTTTGCATTAGTGTTACAGCTTGGTTCCAAAGATTCCGCGTAGACAGAGGTCTCCTTTTACTACGCTGCTCCCGTAAATGGCCAGAATTAATACTTTTTATTTTTCAGCCCTTAGACTATCATAATAGAGATCAGAGCTCACTTTATCAAGGGTAGTGTTTCTCCTAGGAGATCCCGAAATCTGGGACACTGGGGAATATCTGAGTTTGGGGATACAAATGACAAAAGCACAACTTATGAAGCTTAGTATTTATAGAAGATTCATCCTTAGGGTTTTTTTTTTCTTTTTATGACTGGTTCTGTTTGATCCTATATGCAAATATATTAGTAATAAAACATTTACTTCTGTACAGAATAGGAAGAGACATTAAATAGATACTAAACTATTTTTAAGGTTTCGATACAAACTAACACTGATTCTTCAAGAAAAATTCATGGGTCAAATAGGGTCACAACAGATTTGGGAGTCCTATAAAAAGAATAATTTTTTGAAAGGTAAGGGGTGTGTGTGTGTGTGTGTGTGTGTGTGTGTGTGTGTGTTCATTCCCTTTTCTCCCACAACCCTTTATCTAAAGAGTGGATGTGAAAGGGACTGGCTGTAAATTAGATCACACAGAACAGACTATTTTCATAGATTATGGGAAAATGATTTAAAATGCTCAAGAGATGTTATTTAGTTTTTAATCTTAAGATTTTTTTATGTGAAAATGATTTATTGCCCTGCTTGCTAAGCCAGATCATAACCCCACTCTCTGTTCCATTCTGCCCTTTGCCTTCAACTGTTACCAGCTCTCCTACAGCTTGATTCACTAATGACTTTAAGAAAATTATAATTTTTAGTATTAACAAATAGAGTAATATATCAAATTTAGGAGGAGAATTATAAAGAAAACCAGAAGTGTAAAACATAAAAGTTTGGGTTAAGAAATGACCGGGTGAGTTTGGCCCATGGCACTTAAAATAAAACGCCATCTCTGTAGCACATCGAGTCTCTGGTGACGTGGCCACGTCTCCTCTGTGAGCGCATCTGTACCAGAACCTTCTCTCTCCTTTCAGGTACCAGCCACATCCTCCTTCTTTTTTTTTTTTTAATTTTTTTTCAACATTTATTTATTTTTGGGACAGAGAGAGACAGAGCATGAACGGGGGAGGGGCAGAGAGAGAGGGAGACACAGAATCGGAAACAGGCTCCAGGCTCTGAGCCATCAGCCCAGAGCCTGACGCGGGGCTCGAACTCACGGACCGCGAGATCGTGACCTGGCTGAAGTCGGACGCTTAACCGACTGCGCCACCCAGGCGCCCCATCCTCCTTCTTTTAGTTCCTTGACCATAAGACTAAGTCCGCGTGTCCCAGACCATCCGTGTTTCACACCCCGTGCTCTGCCTCGAGGGACGGTGAGCTCCCTGAGGACAGGACCCAAACCTGCCTGTTGTGTCTGTGGCACCACTGTGTCTACAGGACAGACACTTGGTGGGCCCTCAGGTACTGGCCAAATAAGTGAACGAAAGACCAAAAATCTAGGCGTGGAGGTTGAGAAAACCTGAGGACAGGGCGAACCTTTTAGATCATGAATAGTACCTGTAATAAAACAGATGTTAGTCTTAAAAGTGGAAGATCCCTGAAGAACAGAAAGCGATTCGGTCATTATCTGCTCAGCCTCTAATCGCTAACTGAGCACCCACTGTATGTGGGCTCAGACTGTGGAAATTACCCGAGAGGGTAGGTAGCGCTCCGATAACAGTCTGAGTAGAGAGACTCAAAACGTGGGGAAAGGATAATAAGCACAGATGGTTGAGTAGTTTCCTAATCCAGAAGGACGTTGCTCCCCAGTACTGGCCATCTCCGGGAGCTCTGAAGGTCAGGGGCCTGCCCCAAGCATGGTGTGCACCTCCATCACCACTCAGGGCAGCTCGGCGACTCTTCGGAAAGGCTAGAGAGAAACCCACCTTCGGTGTGGAAACAAGAGTTAACTGTGGCTTGGGTGTGTGATTCAAGGGAAAACCAAGAGCCCGTACAAACGTTTCAGTTTTGGAACCTGGGAATTCACCAGCATTTCGGGCCAGAGCCTTTAGAAACCCGGAAGCCTAGTGACAATAGCTTGTCACCAGCATCTCGGCATGAAATGAAGGCCCAGGCACATGGGAGGAACCAGATCCTGAGGCGCTTTGAAGGACTTTGTCCCTGACACAACGTGGGGCAACTTGGGAAGCTGAACAAAAATATCTCTGAAGTGCTAACATGATTCACTCAACCAATATTTACACAGGCTTAGCATGCGGACTCTGCTGTAGACGGCCGTGAGCAAGAGAGACACAGCTCTGCTGAGTGGTGCTGGCCTTCCACCAGAAACGAGGTAAACAGGTAAAAATACATACCTTGTTAGACGGTGGTGAGCATGAAGGGGCAAAAAACAAAGCAGGAAGAGAGGCTAGGAAGCGGGTCTGGGTCATGGCGGGGGTGGGTCAAAGTTTAGGGTGGCCGGTGACCCCTCGCCGGGTGGGCGTGTGAGAAAACCTTCACGAAGAAAGGGTGGTAGCCGTGGGGACACCTGCGGAAAGGGCCTTTCAGAGAGGGGAACAGCCATGACGTCCCCAGGCCCGCACACGTCAGGGTGTCCGAGGAACACGGAGGGGGCCACGGGGCTAGAAGTGGGGGGAGCGAGGGGGACGGTCGGAGGTGAGGGCGGAGCCACCAGGCCCATCCGGAGCCACCGGAGCCACCAGGCCCATCAGTCCTGTTAAGTGTTTGGGGTTCTCCTTGGAGTCAGGAGCTGGGAAGCCGGTAGAGACTTTGAGCAGAGGAACCACGAGCTGACTTGAACGGGGTCGCTGCGACTGGGTTGAGGAGTGACAGCGGGGCTAAGGGTGCAAACAGAAGGCCAGTCATGAGGCTGTAGCGGCCCAGGTGACCAGCCGCTCACAGTGCTTGAGGAGTTTTGGAAGTAGGACTGACGTGATCGGGTGGTCGGGCAAGTCGCCGCAGTTAGTGGTAACTTACGAGCTGACAGTTGTGTGGGTTAGAAGTCCATCAAGGTCCTCACTGGGCTAAGGCCGAGCGACCAGCAGGGCTGTGTTCCTTTCTGGAGACTCTAGGAGAGAATCCACTTCCTTGTCAGCTTTCAGAGGCCACCCACGTCACTCCTTGGCTCGTGGCCCTCCCTCCATCTTCAAAGCCAGCAACACGGCATCCCTCTGGCCCTTCTTCCATAGTCCTGTCTCCCTCTGACTATAACCGGGAGAGGTCATCTGATTTCAGGACTCAAGATGACCCTGGATTCACCGGGGTGGGCTCCCTGTCTCAAGTCTGTAGCTTCATGACGTCTTCACGAAGACGGCATGCAAAGTACAGATTTACAGGTCCCAGGGATTAAGGATTAGGATGTGCACATCTTTGTAGGCAGGGGAATTTGAGATAAAGGGAAATCAAGAATAACCTCAGCATTTTGGGTCTGAGCCATTGAAAGGGAGGAAGTCATCGAGAAGGGCAGGACCCGGTTTGTGGCTCTGGGGTAGACATCAGGAGCTCGGTTTAGGACGTGTTGAAATGCCTGTCAGATATCCAAGGTGGAGGTGACCAGTCGGTGGTTGAGCACAGGAGACTGAAGTTTAGGAGCCAGGATTAACAGGACCTATAAGTGAGAGTCCCCCACGTGTGGATGGCACTGAAGCCGTGAGACCGGATGAGACCACACTGGCCCTTTTAGATCTCCGTGAAGTCCTAAAGTTGTACATCTGAGAATTTGATCGGTGTGAGGAATATGTAAATTGAACACGGAGAAAAATGCAGAAGAGGAGTGTTGAACTGTGAAACCTAAACCAGAGTTTCTCCGGACGGGTTTCACGACCTTGTTTTACTTAGCCCCTTGCAAACTTTATCTTTCCGTTTCTGTGAACTGTATTTCTAGAATTACTGCACCAGAGCCAAGCATCGGAATGACTAAGATGTAGCTCCTCTTACATCAACTTCTGATTCTTTGTTGTTGAGGTGGTTTCGTGTTACGTTAGGTCTGTAGTATTTTAATAAGTACTCGTTTAAAAGTTGTAATAGACTCACTTCAAAGGGCGGTCCTTGACAGATTATGCAGTCCCCAGTTTATAGGTAAGATAGCTTTGAAAAGGAGCAAATTACCAATCTCTCAGATTCTTTGGAGTGCAACATAGTTGCTACTGGCAACAGAACAATTTTTACTAAATTTTATTTTGAGTGGCACGTAGCCTACCATATTTGTTTTCCCTTACTTAGGATGGTATTACTAAATTTGCCAAAGGCCGAAACATGGATCTCTTGTATGTGTATTTCATTATATCCCAGAAAATATTGACACGGCTCATGTCAGTTGCAGGATAAAGGCAGAGAGGTGTCCTCCATCTTGAAGACTCAGCCACTGCCCCGTCGAAATCCCGAACTCCGAACTATAGAGCGGCAAGAAGTGCATCTGAGCGGTGAAAATAGATGTCACAGACTTCATAGCTTTGCTCAGACTTACTGGAGTCAACATAGAACCCTTTGAGGACTCGACCTTACAGGTCTTCCTGTCAAACAAGCCTGACTGGTTTCTAACATGCCAGGTAGGAGAGCAGGTTAGAAAAGCAGAGGGGGGCCTCACGGGGCAAGCTCACTGACCAAAGTGGGACGTGGGGACTGAATCTGCAGAAAAGTGGCTCTTCAGACCAGTAGTCTGGCCTTTAACCCGTGGACGCTTAAGGGAAGTCTGAGGACATCATTCTGTTTAGGAACTGACGTAATGGTGACCCTGAGTCATGAAGAGAAAGTTAGATCGTTTTAGTAGGCAGAGCTTTGGTTATCTGTTGCTGCAAGACGACAAACTACCCTGGAACGTAGTAGCTTCCAGGAGCGGTGACCCTGTGTTCCCTCTCACAATTCTTTGGGTTGACTGGGTTCCTGTGGGTGCTGCTTTTGCTGACTGTTGTGTTGACTGGGCCTGTGGGCATCTGGAGACCTGAATGGGCTGGAGCACTATCCGTGGCTTACCCACATGACATGCCTGTGCTTTCTGTCAGCAGAAGCCCAGTTTTGGTCTCTTCCCACTGACCTTTTCACGTGGCTTGGGCGTCTCACCCAATAACAGCCGGCTCCAACGGGGGTGATTCAGGCATGTGAATACCTTGGAAGTGGTTCAGCATCACTTGACTGCCTTCTTTTTTTTTTTTTTTTTTCAACGTTTATTTATTTTTGGGACAGAGAGAGACAGAGCATGAACGGGGGAGGGGCAGAGAGAGAGGGAGACACAGAATCGGAAACAGGCTCCAGGCTCCGAGCCATCAGCCCAGAGCCTGACTCGGGGCTCGAACTCACCGACCGTGAGATCGTGACCTGGCTGAAGTCGGACGCTTAACCGGCTGCGCCACCCAGGTGCCCCTTGACTGCCTTCTTTTGACGGCAGAGATTCACAGGGCCAGCTCGGAGTAAAGGGAGAGGACATCGAGTCCACCTCTCCAGGGGAGCAGGGGCAGAGCATCTGCCGCCATCTTGAATTCACCGTGACAGAGAAATGGGTGATAGAGCTGTATGTGTGGTGAAGGGGCGAGGGGACCCTGAGATCTCTAGAAAGATGACTCTTCAGAAAACTTGACTGTTCCCTGGGGGTCTGAAGCGCTCGATCCTTTATAAATGTGACTCTCAGTACAAGATAATTTCATCTTTAAGGAGTATTGTAAAACTAAGAGAAGCATTTCAGGGGTGTATATCTGGTAAAAATAATAGCTGTGCTTTTTTTCTTTTTTGAAGTAAAACAGTTCAGAAATAGTACCTCCAACAATCATCGGTCATGGCAACAATTTAAATTACCTGTCAAACGAGAACCCCCTAGAAGGGATTCTAATCAGAATAAAGCAAAAGTTGAACATAAAACTAAATGTTAACTTCTCTTAAGCATTGGGATTTTCTGATTCTTGGATACCTTCTCAATGTTAGCTTGTCCTGTGATCTCAAGCCATCGTGTTTCTTGGATCTATTCTGTGCCACCCATAGGGGGGTGGCAAAGAGCTGGGCCGTTAATCCATGTTACATTTGTGTTATTACATCGTTGTAACTCCAGTTTAATTTGGAAACAATGGCTTCCAGAATGAATTTTGAAGAACTCTACCTTTGAGGAGCTCCGACATCCTTCCCCTCCCCCCCCCCCCACCTCTGGTTATTAGTTTCTCCCTCCTTTGGCCTATTTTTGTGTGAGTTTTAAAACTCTTGGTCCTGACCCCAAACGTATCCTTATGTGTGTGTCTCATGGCTGGTTTATTAATGGAGGCCCTGAGAAGGCACTCAGCAGGGGCTTCTGGAGTGTTTGACTGTTTCCCAGGAGCCTGGCTTGACCATTGGGGAAGCCTTTTTTATTATGTACGTTGAGGAGTTGGCCCTTTGAGCCCCAACAGTCTAAAGCAATAGTGAGGATAAATGGAGTGCTGTAAAAAGAGTAATTTCACTGACAGTATCATGAACGGCATTTTATGCTCTGCTCTTTTTTTACATGAGTTTTTCTGACTTTTTTGTGTCTTCACCTGCTTAATGTGAAAAGACGCTTATTTTCAGCAATGTTGATTTGGATTTTTTAAAAAATCACTCCTGACTGGAAGATCACTTACCTGACAGGTAGGGAATATGTTACTGGTGTCGATTTGTCCTGGCCGGGGGAGTTTCTCTTCTTCGTTTAAAATAAATGTTTTCTTTTTACTGCCTCTTGAGTCTGACATTTTGGGCTGCAGACCCTGGAACCTCAAGAAACAGGCTTGAGATTTCTGGTTCGCTTCCACAGACACGACCTTACTAATAAAAGCTAGTGATAGCCTCAAATGGAAAAAAAAAAAAAAAGAAAAGAAATCCACCTCCCTCGCCTGACATTGTCAACTGGCACAGGCAAATGGAAAATGAAGTTTTAAAAAAATACTCTCTTTTAAACTAGAGGGTTTCTTAACTAAAAAAAAAAAAAAAAAAAGAGACTGGTAACCAGTGTTAGGGGATCACCCCCTGGGCCCTGACAGTCCTCCCTGTCGCAGGGCCCAGCATCTCTCGTGGTGGCGTTAGAGACCCTGTGGTGGGGCCTAACGGCCACCGCATCCCCTGGTTGCTGCTTTTGCTGTCAGGGCCTGTGATCGAGGTCAGGCCGAGAGCACGAGGTCCAGCGTGGCACCGTCTCCAGGCCGGCGGGGAGGAAACCGCAGCTGCCCCAACTTGAAGAGCGAGCCTTGAATTATTCCTCGGCTTTCAAATAGGCCACAGAAATGACAGACAGTAGCCAGTTCCCAGGAAAGAAGAACAAAAAACCAGTTAACGCTTTTGTTTTGAACACCGGTGCTTTTTCTCCTGAACACCTTGTGTCTGATTTTCCTTCTTTGTTTCTCTGTTGGTAGCGTGGTTTACTGACTGTCATTTAACGTGCTCAAGAGTGCTTCGTGAGCCGGGACCGTAAGGGACCCAGTGGAGGCGACCGGATGCAGACTTGAGGCACTCAACTTGCCCAGACCGCGGACTGAAGTCTTGGCAGTTAGGACACCGGAGTCTGTGTCCGTGGACTTTCAACCCTGTTGGCGGTGGGTGATTGTCGGAGGAACCCGATGTAGGATGCCAGCTGCTTAAGCTCCCTCTCGGACGAGATGGAAGAAAAAGAGCTGGAAGGTCCCAACTCTGCGTCCGAGAAGCGCTATTTCCCAGAATCCCTTGATTCCAGCGATGGGGATGAGGAGGGGGTTTTGGCCTGCGAGGACTTGGAACTTAACCCTTTTGATGGATTGCCTTATTCGTCACGTTATTACAAACTGCTAAAAGAAAGAGAGGATCTGCCAATATGGAAAGAAAAATACTCCTTTATGGAGAATCTGCTTCAAAATCAAATTGTGATCGTTTCAGGAGATGCTAAATGCGGCAAGAGCTCTCAGGTGAGTAGCCGCTACGAAATACCATTTGCCTTATGTGGGGTACTTTTGTGTCACTTAAGTAATTATAGTGTCACAGCACGGTGTTCACTTTTAATAATAATCTGGTCGTCTAGGAATTTGTCCATTTCTTCCAGGTTGTCCAGTTTGTTGGCATACAATTTTTCACAGTATCCTCTGATAATTGCTTGTAGTTCTGAGGGATTGGTTGTGACAAATCGGTTTTCGTTTGAGATTTTATCTCTTTGTGATTTCTCTCTTCTATCTGTTTCCTCTCTCTTTTCTTTTTGAGAAGCCTGGCTAGAGGCTTATCAATTTTGTTTCTTTTTTCAACAAACCAACTCTTCGTTTCATTGATCTCCTGCTCTTTTGAATTCTGTATTGTTAATTTCTGCTCTGATCCTCATTATTTCTCTTCTTCTGCCGGGTTTGGGGTTTCTTTGTTGTTCTGCGTCTAGTTCCTTTAGCTGTGCTGCTAGATTTTGTATTTGGGATTTTTCTTGTTTCTTGAGATAGGCCTGGATTGCAATGTAAACAAAACAAAACAAAGCATTAGCAATTCAGACACAGCAGTTGTGACTTACCTAGTTTTATTTATTAAAGCCAGTTGAATAACAGTTAATTATATATAGGTGTTGATTGTGTTTAGCGTACCACAACATTTTCTCTAGAATGGTAGGTAAAAATCCATTCAAGTTGTTTCATTACATATTTTAAAAGATGTGATCAATGTTATTTGCTTGTCATAGACTTGGGGGTTAATTGCTCTGTTTACATGTCCAGCAGTCTGATGATCGAGGCATTTGGACATGCTTGTTGGTGAAGCTGGTTAAGCTCCAGAAATCCAACAGCACAAGAAAATTTTTATTTTCCAGACTATGAGAAATAAGGAAGTGGTCACGTATCATCCTGGCCTGAGGTCATACATTTCGGGATCTATTAGGGTAGATAGTTCATGAAAAATGTATATTGTCCAGGCCACTGTTCTGCTTGAACTTCTAGATTTGATTTTAGTGGTATCTATGTTTTACCTTTAAATTATAAAGCAAGCAGTATTTCTGTTACAAAATTCATGCATGGATTCTTATGAAAAATGAGAATTAAAATAGACCATAAAGATGATCTGACAGTGGCCCAGAGGGATTGGATAATTTGTCTAACTAATGTCACATACTTTTCTGAGTTGGAATTAATTATAAGAGGACTTTCTACGGTACATTGCCACATTCAGGTTGTTTGTTACCTTTGGGGCTTACTTGTTCTAACTTGAAGGGAGGAAGGCTGGACAATAGGTGGTTTTTCTTTCACTTAGCTGCCAATGTCAAGGGTTTGCTATGAACTGTTACTCGTTAGGGTGAGTTGTTGTTACAATGAATGCTTTTGGCGTGTCGGCAAGAAGCTCCTGCTGAAAACTGAGTGGGTGTAATATTCCTGGTTACTGTGGACAAATGGCAAGTTGAACATTATTTAAAATTGGGGGCACCTGGGTGGCTCAGTTGGTTAAGCGGCTGACTCTTGGTTTCGGCTCAGGTCATGATCTCACAGTTCTCAGGGTGAGTTCGAGCCCCGCATCGGGCTCTGCGCAGAGCCTGCTTCTGATCCTCTGTCTCCTTCTTTCTCTCTGTCTCTCTCTCAAAAATAAATAAATGTTAAAAAAATTGAAAAGTGATTTAAAGTTGTTATTTTGCAATAATTCAGATTTTTAGAATAAGGTTGCAAAAATAGGACAAGGATTTTCCACATGTTGTTTACCTAGCTTCCCCAGATGTTAGTATTTCACCACATTTGCTTTACCATTCTCTCTCTTCCCATACACACCCACACCTACACACACGCTCACACACACACACACACCTACAGACACGCACAGTTTTTATTCTGAACCCTTCAAACGTTGATGATACGAGGCCCTTTGCCTCCAAATCTTTCAGCAAATATTTACCAAAAACAGAGCACAGCCGCACTGTAATGATCCAAGTCAGGAATGTAAAATTGACATTTCATGATTCTCTAGTTTACAGACTTTCAAATCTCATCGATTTTCCCACTGATGTCCTTTATTTTTATTTATTTGTTTTTTTAAATATGAAATTTATTGTCAAATTGGTTTCCATACAACACCCAGGGCTCATCCCAACAGGTGCCCTCCTCGATGCCCATCACCCGCCCCCCCCCTCCCTCCCACCCCCCCCCACAACCCTCAGTTCTCAGTTTTTTTTTTTTTTTAAATTTTTTTCAACGTTTTATTTATTTTTGGGACAGAGAGAGACAGAGCATGAACGGGCGAGGGGCAGAGAGAGAGGGAGACACAGAATCGGAAACAGGCTCCAGGCTCCGAGCCATCAGCCCAGAGCCTGATGCGGGGCTCGAACTCACGGACCGCAAGATCGTGACCTGGCTGAAGTCGGACACCCAACCGACTGCGCCACCCAGGCGCCCCTGTTCTCAGTTTTTAAGAGTCTCTCATGGTTTGGCTCCCTCCCTCTCTCACCTCCTTTTTTTTAATGTCCTTTATAAACAAAACAAAACAAAACATTTTTCCGGTCTAGAATCCAAAGTACATTGCACTCAATGGTCATTTCTCTTTAACCACCTATAGTCTGAAAGGGCTCAGGTTTTCCTTGTCCTTCCTGACCTTGACATTTTGGAAGAGTGTCTTGTAGGACATCCCTCAGCCGGCGTCTGTCTGATGTTTCCTTAGGATTAAATTCCAGTTGTGCGTTTGCGGCAAGAAGACCGTGGAGGTGCTGTGGCAGCCTCCTCGGTGCAGCCTCTACGGAGGCATAACGGTTCTGTCCCTGATGCTAATGAAGTTTGGTGCCTCGGTAGGGTGGTGGCTGTCTTGTGCTTCGCCGTAAAGTCACCATCATTCCCCATCCTTGAGGAGGTGGGGAGATGCGGGGCGCCTGGGGGGCTCTGTCGGTTGAGCGTCTGACTGCAGCTCAGGTCGTGGTCTCACAGTTGGTGAGTTTGAGCCCCGCATCGAGCTCTCTGCTGTCAGCACGGAGCCTGCTTCCGATCCTCTGTCCTCCGCTCTCTGCCCCTCCCCTGCTTGCTCGCTCTCTCAAAAATAAATAAAACAGAAAAAAAAAAAAAAAGAGCTGTGAGGAGGTTCTCGTACCCACTGCCTAATTGAAGTAAAACACCGTCGTTCTCAGAGGCTGCCTTCCCCATGTTTTACCCTCTTTCCTCCACGGAGTAACTTGGATTCGTTATTTCTTGCTTTTCTTTTTATAGACTTACCATATTTTTTGGTTATGAGCACTGTTATTCTGGTTAGCCAGTTTTCACTTTTTTTTAGATTTATTTATTTTTGAAAGAGACAGAGCACAGGTGGGGGAGGGGCGGAGAGAGAGGGAGACACAGAATCCGAAGCGGGCTCTGGGCTCCGAGCCATCAGCACAGAGCCCGACGCGGGGCTCGAACTCATGGACCACGAGATCGTGACCTGAGCCGAAGTCGGACGCTTAACCGACTGAGCCACCCAGGCGTCCCCAGGTTTCACTTGTAAAGGGACATATTATTGTGCTCTGACACCAGCCCGTCCTGCCCAGGTGTTACTGACATTCATCCACAACAGTGGCTCTCTAACTTGAGCTTATCAGACTCACCTGGAGGCTTCCTAAAACCCACCTGCCATTTCCCACCCTCCTGCCCGGCCTCAGTTTCTAGTCCAATAGGTGGGGGGAGGGGAGCTGGCATGGTTAACAAACCTGCGGGTGATGCTGGCGGTCTCGAAACCGAGCTTTGAGAACCGCAAATGATTCTGATGCTTTATGGCTGGGCTTCATTTGTTTTTCCCTTTAATGGTAGCCCCTTGCCTGAATCTACTGCAGTTTATATATCCTTTCTCCTGATGATGGGCATTTGGGTTGCTTCCGGGGTTTTCCTTTTCCCAAATGTTGTGACGAGCATTTTGCAGAAGTCTTCTGTGAGATATTTTCAAGAGTTTTTACACAATGGAATTTTTAAAAAGTCAGTGTTTCACTTAAAAAAAATGAAAGTGGGGCGCCTGGGTGGCTCAGTCGGTTGAGCAGCCGACTTCGGCTCAGGTCATGATCTCACGGTCCATGGGTTCGAGCCCCGCATCAGGCTCTGTGCAGACAGCTCGGAGCCTGGAGCCTGCTTCGGATTCTGTGTCTCCCTCTCTCTCTGCCCCTCCCCTGCTCATGCTCTGTCTCTCTCTGTCTCAAAAATAAATAAAAACATTAAAAAAAATGGAAGTAAAAGATACAGGAGGCAATTTGAGACCACGTAAAGTATGCTTCTCGTCACACGTGCACCTGCTGGTGTTACTATCCTCAGATCACTCTTTGACAGTAGGACACTGGTGCCAGGTGCCAACCAAGGTGGTGACTTTTCTAATTCTGACATTCCTTCTACGTTTAGCATTCAGAATTCTCCTGTAAAGCTAAACTTCCTCTTCGTTGTTTATTTGCTCATTTATTCGTTTCAGTGTGGGCTCAAATATTCTTTCCTTATTCAGTACCGAGCCCATTTATTTTGTTGCGCAGATTGCCCCCGACGTGGCCTGCGGGATGACTTCTGCGTCCTTCTGACGGTCCCCGTCATTCTTGGCGCGCGTTTCTTTGCTCTCTGGTCCCGTAACACGTGACAGGCCCATCTAGTGTGTTCCCTGTTCCAGTCTTAGAAATAGCCATTTTCGGGGCGCCTGGGTGGCTCCGTCGGTTGAGCGTCCGACTTCGGCTCAGGTCACGATCTCGGGGTCCGCGAGTTCGAGCCCCGCGTGGGGCTCTGTGCCGATGGCTCGGAGCCCGGAGCCCGCTTCGCATTCTGTGTCTCCCTCTCTTTCTGTCTCTCCCCCACTCATGCTCTGTCTCTCTCTCAAAAATAAATAAACATTAAAAAAAAAAAAAAAGAAACAGCCATTTTCCTCAGGGAGCCCTGGTCCGTTTAGGTGGAGAACTGTGCTTAGAAATCAAGATCTGGGCACCAAGTGGCATTGCCATCAGCTCGTCGTTGCTTCCAGGCCCCGTCAGGTA